TTAATAACAAATTAAAAACAGTGAGATACATGCAACCTAAGATGGATTTTTTGTTTATAATGATAATAATTGAAAGATCTAATCGTAAATTTTAGAAGAAGAAACGGCAAAATGGAAAGTTTAAGATTTTTGGAAAATGACAAATTAATATTAAAAATTATTAATATTAAAAAATAAAATCTCACTTTGCAAGTTAAATCTATAATTTTGTCTTATAATATTTAGAATATTTCAAGTATCGCAAATGTTTATATTAGAGAAACTTTTTCTATTCGTGTCTTAAACACAGTTTATATTCAAAATTGGTGACTGTTACAGAAAGAGACATGTATGGACAAAATATTAAAGTTATTTGATTCTTATTGACTTTTATTATTATGTATGAAAATTTCATTTTCTATATTTCTAGAAATTTTAAAATAATTTTGTACATATGCATAAGAAAATTAAATATTATTATTTATTTAATTAATATTTAATTCTAAATAATTCTGAATGTTTTAAAGATAATAAAAAATTAAATATATTAAACTTTGCTTTAATTACTTTCTTTACAATAAAAGAATTTATGCATCAAAATTATTCCAGAATTCGTATCAAGATTAAATGCAAGATGTTGCTGATATAGTAGATAAAAAAATACTGCAAAAATGCAAGCACCCTTGTCGGAAAAAGCATTTTAACGCCGCGTTATCGCACGTTCCTACCCCCTAGGGCGATAAGCCACATAATTTCATATTCAATTTAGCATACGCGCTCACAGGGGTGAAGATAAGGTGGCGACAGACACCGGCAATGAAATCCGACGGCTATCGGCTAACCCTCGAAATAGACATAGTGACGTCGTGTTTGTAATAAATAGGCAGGGACATACGGTAAAAGTTATAGATATCTCCATGTTATGTTTTTTACATTATCGGAAATAGTAGAGCATTTTATAAAAAGGTCGTTTTTTTATATTATTTTCACATGTTTGCATGGATCACTTTAAAAAATATTTTAGTACGTAAAGTAAAAATTTTTTTATGTTTGATGATAATTATCAACTAGATTTTGCTACTACTCTTAATGAAATTTTAATAAGTTTGTATAAAACAAGTTTATTCTTTTAACATAAAGTAACAAATATTTAATTAAATATTTATATATATACTTTGTGTTAAGAAGATTAATTTGTTTAAATATTATTAAATTTTTTTTAGTTTTTCTCACGTTTAGTTTTATAAAATCTTTTATTATAAATTTTATAGGATACAAAGTAAATATTCTTTGGGTATTTTATTTCAATAATGTATAAAAAGCGAAATATATATATCCATTATATGTGGATAAGTTCAACCCGCGGAAATGTTGTATTAATAATGTCAATCTGTTGAAGCCGTTGATAGTAATATAGAGGCTCGATGAAATACCAAAAGTCAACCGCGAATCTCCCATGGCGTGCGAAAGTTTGCTATCTCGGTAGGATTCGATTACCGGTTTGAATAGATGGTAATGCACAATGGAGCAGACCTAACTAAACTTAGGCCAGGAATCCCGTTTGTCTGCAGTCCATGTAAAAGGAAGCGAGGGCCGCGTGATCCATCCCCCTGGTATCGAAGGGCGCGTGCACGATACGTGCTGACAAAAACTCGTTATTAGATTATATGCCGCAAGATTCAAGAACCCTTCGCATATCGGGTATGAGCGTGAGGAGGAAGAAGGGGGGCAAGGATGGCTCCCTTAGCAGAAAACTCCCAGAAAAATGTTCCATCCCTGAAGAATATCAAGCGGTGTATCGATGTAGAAATCATTCTTTTGGAAGGGCGGATATCTCAAAAATATGTTGAAAGCTGTCGATAATTATAGTAAAAACGTAAAATAGTTTATTAATAAATATTGACAATAATGCTACGGCTGATAAAACAATCTAGATAATCTAATATATACAATTAAAAATAAAGATATCGATAAATAGGAATTTAAAATATAAATTAATTGAAATAACAGAAATGTGATACTTAGTTTATTTCAAATATATTTTATATTAATTGGATACAACATCGCTTCGTTCGTATTTGTTAATAATAAAATAGTATAAATGATAAAATTTCTAAAATAATCGCTTTTGTACAAAGCTATTCGAATCACGTATCCAATATCATAGTACAATCATACAAAGATTTAGATTTCATTTACTGTGACTCAAAGAATTTGTACGAGTGCGAGAAATCTGTGACATATCGAAAATCCATTCATGAAGCTGAAGAGTTACACGTTTGAATGCAACTCTTTCTAGGTCACATAACAATGCATGAGTGCCAAATATTGATCGTAGAATGTTTCATAATCTCTGTTATCTGATATTTTTGTTATTATAAAAAGATTAGGTAATCTCTTTTTATTCATAGATTACAATTGTTTGTATTGTAAACAACTATTAAATTTTTACATAAAGCGATATTTACAATAATACAGGAAATCGTGAGAGATATAATGTTTTATTAAATTTTAAATTAAAAATTGTCCAAATTTGTATTACAGTTATAGTATAAAAAGACTTATTGCTAGGGTAAGTTTGCACGTGGCATTATTGCACAGGGTGGTAAATTTCAATAGGATTGGTGTAATTAAGAGCTATTTCTGCATGATTTTTTTCTTAGTAGAGGGGAAACAGTAAATAGGGAGTGAAATCTGGCTGCCGAGGGTGGTATACTACACGATATAGGAATAGTGGTATTTTGCGAAGCTCTCTAGTGCCGTAGTACCGAACTCCAGCATCGTGCAAAGGAATTTAAATTGATATCGATAGTTCGTGGAATGCGCAAATCGGTTCGTCACGGTATGCGAAAAACGCCGTATCACGTGAGAGATATTTCGACGATGATCTTTTTCTGTCGAAAAAGATCAAACATACCAGACGTTTAAAATATGTAACTCATTTATTTGATTATAAAGATAAAAAAGCACTAGATTTTATCTACTACAAGTTAATTGATTAGAAAAAATTTTATAATTTTGTAAAGTTTATTATTGTGTAATAATAAGATTAAGATACATTTCTTAACTTTCAGTTTATCAGAATTAATCTGGTATAGATTTCTCGTTTCAGAAATAATACTTGTATGTTTTAGATGTAAAATGAAAGTTGTAATTTTTCATAACATGATCAAATCGATATAAAGATAGCATATTACGACATAATATTTTGCAAGATGCTTTATAGATGTAATATAACAGGAATGCCAGGCACAATGTTACTTTCCTTATGAACGGTATGATTGATTGCGCAGTATTAATGTTAAGCTCGAGTTACACACTTCGCTCTATACAAATCCCAAACCCTATAATATATCACCACAGCCTGCTTGGAGCAGGTTCTCCTTACGTTCTCTCTTTTTCCCGACTACACGAGGGCAGGAGCAAATTAGTCGGAAAATGATTTCCTGAATAGCATAATCGCTACGAAGAACTGTCCGCGGTTGAGACAAATCATTTATTGTGTTGCAACTGAAAATCAGAATTCTAAATACACAATTAATCTTAAAAATTCAGTTAAACGCAAAAATACGACTGCAAAAAAAAAATAACCAAAATTCACATCTTCGAACCTATACCATCAATTTATCGTGAATTATTCAAAGAGATTACATTGGTGTTTAGTTTATTTAATTCTTCGTATTCATCTATATTCAAAAATTACGTACAATATAGATGTTACAAATAAAAAACGACAATATCAACTAATAACGCAAAATGATTAGTGATTAACATGGTTTCCATCAAAAAATGTAAAGAATGTCCTCGCAACCCTGAACTTGCGACACAAATCTGCATAACGAAAAGCGGCTTATCTTGCACCAGTTGGCCGCACGTGTTTGTTTTTCGTGGATAGTATATGCGTGCAGCGTTTGAGAGCCTCTGCAAACAATCTAGTCGAGCAGCGACGCGTGTGACTCGCAAAATGCGGGCGCTTCGGATCATCGAACCCTACTCCACCCTTGGTCAAAGTGCGAGTCTGCCGCTCCTGCTAGACGGGAAAAAGAGAGAAGATCGTCTTCTCGCAGACCCCCTCGACCGGACGCGTGCCACGATCCACGGACCGAGATAATTGCGAATAACAGTACGACAAACGGCTCAAATACCACTGTCTGATATCGTGTCTGACACGATTTTTCTGTCGGAACGTTGATATTTGCTTCGATCAACGACGTTCGTGTATTATTCGTGTAGAATGATTCTGGAGCATTTGACATTTTCTTTTAAAGAAAGAAATGAGAAAATAAAACCTATATGCAATCATTATAAATTTTTAAAATTTTATATTAATTTGTATTATAGAGATTATAAAAAATATATAAACAGATTTGATGAGCAGATATCGTTAATATTTATTGGCACGGTAATAAAAATCTTTGTTAAGAAACTTTTGCTACCACTTTATGCACAATCGTTTTCCATTAATGGAATACGTGGCCCGTGTTTGTGAGAGAATTCTCCTCCGACAAAAATAGGAGATTATCCTTCTTAGACCTTTAACGTCGGTTCGACTTTACCACGCGTCGAATCCCAGACTATAGTCGCCGGTGAAGGGGAATGTCCGTAGTTTGTGATGCCATGTCAATCATTACGTAAAACCAAGAAATTAAAGCGTATATCTACGGTTAAATAGATAACATATTCTATTTAATATTTGCAATAAACTCGGAATAGTATTATTGATAATTGTATAAAACATTTCTGTCTGATAGTGAAAATAATTTTTATAATTTTTGTAATATAAACTCGAGATATTTAAGCACATTTTATTTTTGTACGATATACCTTTGATATACCAACCTGTTCGCATTGTGTAATAAAGCATAAGATTATCGAGCACACAAGGGTCAAAGGCTTTTCGATACCGGATATTCAATGAAGTGAATCCATCATATTTCAAGGATCAAGAGATTTGCGCTATCCTAAAAAAGGTGATAGTGTTTGTGGGGTTCCTTTATATGATGTCTGTACTATTGATTGTTTCCAGATGAAACATGGGAGAAAACACATGAGAGAATGGTTTTTCTTCAGTCGTGATACTTATCTTTTTCTTCTTTGTAATAGCTTCTTTGTAATATTTTCTTCTTTTTACGAACATTCTAATATTGATTTAAATTAAATGTGTTTAATGTGTAACACAAGTAATGGATTATAAAGCTGAAGTGTCTACGCGAAGTGTCAGAAAGAGAGAGAAAATAAAATTCGCTCCCCTAGTTGCATCAGAAGGTTGGGCTCCCATCGAATAGGAGCATTAAGCCTGATCCTCGCGCGATGTTCAGCCGAGCGGATGACAACGTACTCGGGAAGAGCTTAAATCTCTCTCCTGCCGCCTTTCCTCTAGTGTGCCTTTAACTTACGCGACAGACAAGGTCGCACTAATATTCGGACACGTGCCACGTCAGCGTTATTAATTACCTTGCTATTAAGAGTCACTTGTCAACAATCACTGCAACCTCGGCATAATAATTTATTTTTATACGACGAAGTAATTACACTTTTTCATCACTTGTGCATAAGTTTCGACAGGGATACGCATTTTAGCGACATTTTAATAAAATTATATGAGATATGACTCTTTTCTCTGCAATTTTCTCTGAGGAAAGTCTTTCCTCTTGGTTTTAGGACATCCACATTTCTTCAATCAACTATCATGCGGTCTCGATTTAGTGTCTATGGCTGGCGAGTGGCTGACTGCGACAGCAAACACGAATATGTTTACCTATGAAATCGCTCCCGTATTTATTCTGATGGAACATGTTGTTCTACAAAAAATGCGCGAGCTTATAGGCTGGAATTGTGGTGATTCCATTCTCGCACCAGGGGGGTCTATTAGCAATCTTTACGCTTTTCTTGCGGCCAGACACAAGATGTTTCCATACTACAAAGAAAAAGGACTTTCAGCTATCGGAGGACAGTTGGTTATGTTCACATCCGATCAGGTTCGTGTTCGAATTTAATTAAATGTTTGATGAAATCGTGTTCTTTTACTTTCAAAATTTTTCTTGTATTAACAAAATTTATTTAAAAGAAAACTATTATTTAAAAATATAAACCCCGGAAAAGTTATTTATAATTAGTTAGTTATAATTAAATTGCACATTGCGTAATCATTATTAAACAATAAATTTAAATCTATATTTTTAAGTTGAAATTAATATAATTTCTGTCAAAATGATGTAAGTTATAAAAAGTTTATTAAACGTATGTTCTCATAAGAGGAAACTGATTAGGGTTAGGAGGTTATCCATCATTAGTATGGATTATTAATGTCTACAGTGCCATTATTCTGTGAAATCATGCGCGTCTGTTTGCGGCCTCGGTACGGATAATTGCGTGATGGTGCCTAGTGATGAGCGCGGTCGCATCATTCCATCCAAATTGGAGGAATTGATCCTGGAACGCAAAGCCAAAGGTCACATACCATTCTTCGTAAATGCCACTGCAGGAACAACGGTTATTGGTGCTTTCGATCCAATCATGGAGATCGCTGATATCTGTCAAAAATATAATCTTTGGCTTCATGTCGACGTGAGTAATACTTTCAATAAAAATATATAAAAATACATAATATATATTTATTTTGTGTATGTGTATTTGTATTAAAATATAGTGCATCAAACACATAATTTTAAACACAATATTTGTTTAAACATTTTAATATTTATATAGAATTTCAAGTAAAGCAATATCTATAAATAATTCTATAACTCTTTATAACTTGTAATATATAACTTGTAATATAAAGCGAGATAAACATAATTGATTATTGCTTATTATTGCATGTTATACTCAATTAAATTAATCACATAAAGTTATAAGTATAACAAATGATAAAAAAAGATATTAATTTATTAAATAGCCTCAAAGGTTCTTTTAAACAGTAAAATTCGTTTTATATCAGATACGCTTACGTAATCAAGCCCATTCAAACACGATTTAAGCTGTAAATGCCAAACGCATAAGAACCTTAACGTAAATAATAAATGTGGGAAGCGGCAGAAGTTTCACCAGTATTACATTCACGAGTAAATTATACGGGAAATTCGGAAAATACCGGATTTATAAGTCAGAGATTAAAAAGTACTTAAAGAAAGCTTATATTTTATTTATGTTTGTCATTCGTGAATTTTTTAATTTTTCACATTTTATTATTGAGTATTCAATTAAATAATGAATCTTTGTTATAGGCGGCTTGGGGTGGTGGACTGCTTCTGTCGAGAAAGTACAGGCATCCGAGATTGACCGGCATCGAACGGTGAGTGTTAAATTACTAAAATTAATTTATATTAAAGTATATGTAATAAAAAAGAAGATATAAATTTAATTAACAATTTATTAATTAAATTATTTTAATTTCTCATCATATTGTTACAAATCAAATATTGTTATTCTTTTTATATGTGCATGTATTATTTTTACAATATTTTATATGTTTATTACAATTCTATTAACTTTCGTAACTGAATCTGAATCTGAATATTATGCAAATATGTTTGATGTAAAAAAGATCTACTGGATTTTATAGTTTATTGGAGCTCAGTTGAGCTTACAATGGACTACTCTGAAAAACGTCTCCAACCTGATGTATATAAGATAAAATCAATATGTTCCTTTTGAGATGGTTGTGATTTGAAGGTCGGGCGTTGCGAATGATTTTACATGAGAATGGTCGAAGGCAGTCAGCCTGTAATGTATTGCTCACATAAACCGCGATTAGGATGCTACTAGGGGCTGGCATTAGATTGTGCGAGCAATGTAAAGAGATTCATTGCGTTAATAATAATCTTATTATGACAAATTTAAATAAGCATTAAAAAATAATGAGAAATTTATAATATAAATTCTTATATTACAAATAAATAATTCTCATATAAAAAATACTTTTTATAGAAATCTTATTTTTGGCTTATAATGTTAGAATTGTGACAAAATGCGACACTCATCTGAATTTTTAAACAGGCTGAATTAAATGCAAATTATATTTTTAAAAGCAATTATATTTTTAAAAGGTCCGCGAGAAAATCCGCAACTTCTGATTCACCTTGTAAACGCGAACCCATCAAGCTGTGATAGGGGTCAGGGGTATGGACGAGACATACATGGGGGTTGGCGAGATTAATCCACGATTTGCATCCAGGCGCATCTGCTCCCTCAATTCAGACAATCCCTGACCTGAAAATCGGTGCGAGAAGTCTCTCGGGAATGATTTACGTATAAAAAGAGATAGATCAATCCGTCTATCAGAGTATAGCATAACATCTTTTAAAAATAAACAGAAATATTTTAACTATATTTAGCTTTTATAACATTTATAATAATGCGCTTTCTTTAATTATATTATTAATTTATCTTTAATTATATTATTAATTTATATTATTAATTTATCATGACAAGCTTATATTATCAAAACATTTCTCATTTTATATTTATTTTACAAAATTTCGTTACGTACGTTTTTTGCCAATATCTGAAATTTATTTGGAAACTGTCACAATTGTCCAGATTGTTCTTTCTTTTTGTACGTCGATCGTAGATGCATGTCCACAATTTTTCTTCATGGACTGTACTGCGACGAGAACTTCCTTCCTGGAAGTCTTGATTAAAATGGCAAACGAAAGGCGCGCAGAGAAAGATCCGACGCATGAGCAACAGCTGGATCAGTTCCCTGGAGCACATTTGCAGAACAGAATTCTCCTCTTATATCGACGCGCCGCGGTGCTGTGCCACCATCGTGCCTTCCTCCGCAAGCCTGAAATAAAAGCCCGTGCCTTGACAATGCCGGATTAAACTCCTACAAAGAGAACTGCCTCCCTCATTCTCTAGCTAGTCCTCTTTCCTCTCGGTTCCCCTCACATCCGCGCTCCAGATTGCGTAGAATCGAGAAAGAACACTATTTTATCTTCACGGTAAAGTTGAAATGGTCGTGCTCAAAAAGACAAGTCGGAGAAGGCTGTGGATTGCACGTAAAGTTCAAAGTTCGAGAGTGTACGTTTCAAGCCATTCGTTAAGAATAGAAATCGGACCACGTGTTCAATTTTCTTTAAGCCAATTCCAAGTTCTTAATTACAAGTTTCTAGTTCCTCGTTAATCTTTTGAGAAAATCTAATTATTATTTAATCCTCGTCATTACAGAAATATTTCAAAACTTCTACTTTCTAAAGAAAATGTTTGACTTGTATTTCTATATAAGACTTATCTTTGCTTTTGCGTTACAAAAATATATTGATAGAGTGATAGAGATTAACTTCCTTTGATCATTACTGAATTGGAAGTGTAATGCTCGCACTATCAAACATAGAACTTCCGCACATAGTGCACGTACATTACGCTGGGGTGCGGGTAATTAACATCCCCTGTAATATATATTGAGCGGCTTTTGGGGTTGGCACCTTGGACGAATTTAAAAGCGAATGGAAGGGTGCTGTGTGCGCCAGCTCCAGCTGCGAATCGCATTAATCACTCGAGCTTTGTACACGCTTCTCAAGTACGATTTGTGCATCTTATGCAAAGAAAAAATTTTTGAATTTGTAATATTTCTTTTATACTAAATTGATATTCATAATTTATCGAAGAATTTATGAGACTTTTGTACGGTATAAATTTCTATTTTAATTTTAATTCATTACTAACAAATTATAGATAATGACAAATTACAAAGTAATTGCAAGCAAATGTATACAATTATTTCTTGTCTAAGGTAATATCTTATAAAAATTATTATAAAAATTTTTTAATTTAATACATCAATGTTAAATTTAAAATAAAGAATATTTTATGGTATCCATTTTGCTCTTGACAGTATCAAACTAATAAGAAATTATGACAAATAAATAAAAAATTAGAATTAACATATATTATTATAAAAGAGGAAATATTATGCATTTGTTAAAAATCAAACAAACAGAAGTGTGTCTCGATCTGCAACATGAAGGATGCACATGAGTAAATAATGGACAGCGTCTGCTAACGACACGAATCGCGCTTCAAGGGTGCTTCAAGAATACCCTCGTATCATCCACAGGACATTCAGCCAACACGCGGGGCCAATGTCGCGATAAACATGTCACTTGCCAAGTATCAAACATTTATCATACAGCACGCAACTTGTGTATTTAAAGATAAATTTTATAAAGAAAATAAAAATAGCTATTTTACAGTTTTTATTAATAGCTAAATTTCATAGCTTTCTGTACGCTAAATATTTCTAAAAAATATGTTGATAAAAATCTTTAGTTTTTTATTATATTTTATTATGTTTTTCTCTTTTCTTTCCTGATAATTTTATGCACCACTAATCGTTAAAATATCTAAAATCCACCACAAATTCGGGTCGAGGAATGTGAATGTGAATTCTCACATATCACAATGCTTTTTCAAGGATTAAGAAGGGTTAGAAGTTTTTACCGCCGGAGTGGGTCTCTGAGGACCAGGGAGTTAAATCCGGTCCCGTGGCTATATTAATAGCTCTTCTCTCGAATTGATAGACCCCCTTCCGTGGCACGGCGGGAAGATAACTCATATTTTATCCCCTATTGGTTCCCGTGGGAGTGGATAAGAGTTTGACGACCAGCTGAGGTCGGCTAGCTTTTTCAGTCAGCTCGACGAGGCTCGCTTCGACAGGTTGCTGATAAGGCAAAGAAGCATAATTTTTTACACTTTTCGTAAAATGTACGGCCCATTTGATATATTTTGTTATCACAGAGATTTTTTTCAATTATATAATGAAAAGAATATCTTTTTATAGAATTTGATTCTATGTTTATAAATTTAATGAAGTTTCAGAAAGTAACAAAAACATTAATTTTTTGCACAAATTTAATTACCTTTTAAACATGTAAAAAATTATCAAAGAAAATTGAAATCTTTTATAAAATTCCAACAATATATGATTTTTCAGAGCTGATTCAGTAACATGGAACCCTCATAAACTTATGGGAGCTTTGCTTCAATGTTCCACTATTCACTTTAAGGAAGACGTAAGTTATAAAGTTATATATTATTAATTAGATAATATTTCCGAAATATGACAGGAAAAGATTTATTAATTACAGAAATAATTGTTATTAGTTATTAGGAATTAATTCACAAGTGTTTTATTAAGGATTATTATCAATATCTTCTCGCACGAAACGTTTATATTTCGAGATCTGATATGTTTTATTTTTTAATGTTTTATTCTGGCACAATCAAAACGTTGAAAAATAACTCTCCAGATAAGCAATAAAAGGTATTCGCGAAAGAATATCAATGTTGCATTCACGACACGTCTAAGACGTTGCACTTTTAGGAATCCCCCCCTGTTATCGAGCGTACTGAAATTCCTGCATCGCGCAAGGGCAACGAGACAGCACTAGTCGCATTCCGAGGGGTAGACCTACGTGCCAGGGCGAGCGGCACTACAGGAATTTAATTAAACTAAGAGATAACATATGTTGCCGTCCGTCTACACCGCACTGCCGGGGAGGGTCCATCCCCCCACGCGATTCAGTTATTGCTAACTCCGAACTTCCCCTTCGGATATTAAAATTCCGTGCACCGGCTGCCGCGAGATATCCGGGGGAGAACGCACCGTGCTTTTATCGGGCGTTCTGCGTGGCCGTTGATGTTGAAGTGTACTGTCCAAGGGATGCTTTGTTAACAATGACAGTCACGTTGGTTTATTTTATACAGATCAGACGTATAAAAATATTAATTCATTTATATATTTGCGAGACTAGTTCAATGCCTATTCTTTACATTCTTGTCACGTATTAATATTTAAAGACAGCAGTAAGAACAAAAACGTAACAAACATGACAAAACTGAAATATCTTTTTTCCTAGCTTAGAGATAAGTATTCGTCGATGTTACATAAATTATCGTAAAATTCTTTATATGATGTAGGACATTTATAAATTATGATAAGCTTTGAAAAAGCGACTAAAAAGTAATCTTATTCAAACAATAGCAGCCAGTAATGGAGTATGATATTGGTGCGGAATATCCGCCATTTTGTAAATTCAATATCCTGAGTATTCCTCCTCACGCGCATGTGTTAAAGCGTCGTATCGACCCAGACGGACTCGCCCTCTTCCTCCTCCGGCGGCCTGTCAATCGTAAACCACGCGAAACAATTCCGGAAACGCGCTTCGTTATCGGAAAAATGTTTGTACGCGCCCGTCTCTCGTCTGTTTTGAAAGCGAGAGCTGTTTCCATTTTGCAGGGGCTACTGATCAGCTGTAACCAAATGTCCGCGGAATACCTGTTTATGACGGACAAGCTATATGACGTGAGGTTCGACACTGGTGATAAGGTCATTCAATGCGGGCGTCACAATGACATTTTCAAGCTTTGGTTGCAATGGCGCGCCAAGGTACAAAATCCAGTATTCATTGTTATAGAAAGCTGATGCTTTCTCGTTACGCTCGGCATTCTCTTTATAATAACAGACTATTTCTATAATATTTTTAAATCTTTACTGAAGAATGAATCTATTATTTTATTATTAGGGCACAGAGGGTTTCGAAAAACATATGGATCGGCTGATGGAACTGACGGAGTACATGGTTAGGAGGATTAAACAAATGCCTGACAAGTATTATTTGATTCTCGAACCTGAATTGGTGAACGTATGCTTTTGGTATCTACCCACGCGCGTGCGGAATATGCCACATACTGCGGAAAGGATAAAAATCTTGGGCGAAGTGCGTTTGAAGAATTTAAAAAAAATCAAACAACATCTGTAATAAAAATCTAGCCAAGTTTATTGATCTAAGAATATTTCAGAAATTCTTTTTGCATAAATTTTATAATAAAAGAAAGCTTTATGATGAAATCTTTATGATTTCAGATTTGCCCAATCTTGAAGGGTCGCATGATGCAAGCTGGTACGCTGATGGTTGGCTACCAGCCAGATGATCGACGGCCCAACTTCTTCAGGAATATCATTTCCAGTGCCGCTGTAACAGAGGCCGATATCGATTTTCTCCTGGCAGAGATGGATCGATTGGGCCATGACTTGTAAGAAATCTGTCCACACATAGGCATTAATTGTACGATGTGCAGTAATTAATTGACTGGTACATACATCGTTGGCAAAACTGCATACGTTACATGATTCGTCGGAGCGCAATTTTCGCGACGCGTTTTAAAAAATAATAATGAATTAATAAATAATAATAAGAATTTGAGATTCAAGTCACAAAACCACCAGTATGTAAAACGCAATGAAATAAGCGACTTATGCAACAGAAAAAAACACACAAATATTGAACTTATCTCTAATTATATTTTCTTTACTTTTTCCACCTAGATGATGCAATATATTTAGCAGTAATTATTTATTTTATTTAAATAACGTTTTATTTATTAACAAAGATGACAAAGATGATTAATTATTATTTTGTATAATTTATTTTATACGTAGTGTAAAACAATTAATTTTTAATTAATTTAATATTTAAATTTTAGATAAATTGAGTAAAAAAAAATTTTCATGGTATTTTTTAAGCTATTATGCATTTGCCTATAAACTTTCATTCATCATTTCACAACATATTTTATAAAATCAAGATGAGTCGATATATTATAGTTGATTAGTACATCAGAAGAATAATTTAATTTGGTATAAATATGATCATTAATGGAAAAGGGAATGATATTAGTAAGGAGTCAATGTGTAATTAAATGCTTCTTTATTCTGCGACCAGTTTGCAGCAGCTACCTGCACGTCGAAAAATATACGTAGTATATAAGTTTTCTAGATTTAAACGAAATACACGGCATATCCAAGAAACGAAGAGCCAAGTTATAAACTTAAAAATGCTTCCGGCCGTAAGCTATGCAGATTTATTATTTTTTGCTGCTCGATGCACGATAATATTTATGCAAGTGATAAAAAATTATTAATCACTCGTTAATTGAAGCAATAATAGTATACATTCGCTTTTTAAACAAAACATGAAAAAAATTTTTGTCTTGAAACGCGGATAGAACGTTGTTTAATATTTGAATTAGTATCTTATTTTTATTGTATATACTACTCTCTTTTATATTATATTAATTTTGAGAAATTTATATCAAGTTACAAATGATTTTTTAAATTTATATAAAAGAATGTTTTCTTCTTGTCCATATTTTATATTTATGAACACGTTAAATTAAAATATATTTAGTTAATAAATATATTTAATTTTGTTAACAATTTTTATATATTTTATTTAAAAATTGTGTACATCATTTACTGTGTCTTACGATGGTACTCTTCCTTCTTGTTCATTAAGATACCTCAAATATCTCTGAGATTTTTATTAATTTAAATTATGTAATTATATAACTGAAATTATTTGACAAATTTATTAAAAACTGTGCAACATTAATTAAATTCGTGCGCGTTCAAATAAAAATATTACCGTAACTAAAATAAAATCTGCAGTTTGTCCATAAGACGCTTGAACGAAGGCAACCCGTTTTCGGACGGTGTAGAAATCTATCTAGGACATAAATCGTAAGCACTACAGATAATCTCTCTGAGCTTGATTGTTCTCGTTCTGTCCCATTGCACGATTTGCAACGAATCGTCAGCCAAAAACCACGAAATAGAAAATTTCTATTCTACCGTGGTATTAGGGATAGATAGCACATATATAACATTACTTTCCATAAAAAAAAATAGATTTAACATCGCGCGTTATTTTGTTGAGATATTGACGGAGTTTACAATTTATCAATTGTTTGCGAAGATAATGTTACGAGATGGACTGCATCTATTATATACAAAATATATGTATATTATAATTTACTGTTAAACAATTTTAATCAAAAGGAGAGTATTAATATATATTTAATATAGATATATATATATAAAGTATAAATATATAAATATATCAAAGCATATATTATATATATTTAGTGTTGAAATTTTAAGAATACAAAACACAAACCCATGAAAGTACATGCTTTTTCGAATATTCTTGCAAACGGTTGCTACTTACAATTTATTTGTTGATTCTGTTAGAAATCTATCCATTTATTTAAATGTTGTAAACATACTATTGAAAGTAATGATTGCAAGAAATTATACAAAAAATTTGATTGTCTTATATATTTTTAATATTCTAAATTTCATATCAATTCTTGAAAAAGTATAACTTTGTGTATAATTTTCTGATATGAATTTATTATATACATTGGTTATATCCTTTCCTATCTCTTATACATTTATGACAATTATTTTTTATCTTACAATTATATAATATATAATTTAATAATAATTATATAATTTAATAATATCCATTATAAACATAATATTAATAATAATTATATAATTTAATAATATCCATTATAAACACAATAAATTTGTGGAAACTGATGGTAACGGATGATAAGCATGATCTCTTTATTTGTTCGACAACACTTTCAATGGAATAATTCTATAGATTTCGATTCACTCGCCAGTATGGAGTAACAAAAAAAAATATTTAAGTAAGTAAAATATCTAGGTGTAATACAAGAAATATAAGTGTATTTATGTACACATGCATCTTCAAAACTAATCGCGTTTCTTTTTCTGTTGACGACTGCCGTGCCGTCGTAACAATTAGCCTAAGTCACACTTAGACGAATACATTTAGATGGAGAGCCGCAACTTCAGAACTGGAACAACAGTTCCGGGATTAAATTAATGCAGGATTAATCGAAGTAGAAAGCAATCGATATATCCTGATATCAGTAATTTAATGTCAAAGAAATGTTGATCTTACGTATTTAAATGAAAATGTTTGGCTGATGAATTATAACGGAAAATGTCAATTCAATATAAAACGTATATAATGTGTAAAATATAAAACACATTATACGTATATGTATATGTATATACTGAACTCTGCACCAATAAGATAAAAGAACAATTTATTCAAGGAAAAACAATTCATTAAAATAAGTTCATATTTTATAGTAAAGAAAAAAGAATAAAAAGATTTATTCTTTATAAAATATATTTTCTTTTATTTATATGTACACATAAAAAGCGAATCAATACGAATTTTTATTAATAATAATTTAAATTAATAAACATTTTTTTGAAATAAATTTATTATTATATAGAAAATATTAAAACTTTTCTAAGGCAATTTTTAAACAAGAAATTAATATTGTCAATTAGAAATACTGTAAGATTAAATTGTTTTTATTGACGCAGAGTTCAAACAAATTTATCTGCAATCATTATGCGTCAAAGAAGGGACAAAGTGTATTTTTCGAGAAGAAAATGAATTAAACGATTCATCTGACCAGCAAAACGATACCTGCAAAGAAAAAACTCTATTAAAACATTGTTATTTATTATTCATAATTCTATCGGCGTTGCAAGTTTTTTTAGTCATAGTCGTTGGTACTGCCGACATAGTAATCAATGCTACTCATAAACGAATCTCTCTCGTAATTACACACATCTTATTAATTCCCATGTAAATGATCGTTTTTTAAGGAAAAGTGATATATTTATACAGAAAGTATACTCGTCCCTGTAGACTCCCAAACATTTAATTTGCTTGTATAATTAAGTAACAGATCTATTAACATATTCGATGCAATATTTTCTTTTACAATGTATAAATTATTACACATAATTTTTACGCGGTCAATGTAATAGACATTAGAAATAATATTTAATATAGAAAAATATTAAAGTAATAAATTATATTAAATAAATTATACTACTTGTACAATTTAAAATTGCGAATGTTATACTATTTTTTTGTAGATATTCAGTAAACAAAAAAGTTTATAAGTAAAATGTTAAATATAAAATTTAATACGTATGAATATTTTGCTTATCGTTGGCGCGATATAAAATTTTACATACAAACTTTTTTTAAAGTAAATATTATATTTAATTCTTCTTATAATATTATATATATAATCTGTTTTTAAATACCATGCACATTTTCAAAACTGCATTGATACAATTACAGTTTATTGTTTCTGCATACAATGCATACTTGTCATGTATCATTCTTTATACTCTGCTTAATATTTATTAAATTGCATATATTAAATCTTGATTGTTGTATTGTGTTTAAAGTATTTATTGCTACATTTCATGTTCTTCAATAGTCTACATCGACGAGAAATACATATATATATATATATAATCGAATAAATTTATTTCGATTATGTTAACAAGATAAAAAGTCTCATCTTTCACTAATATTTATGAGCTAAGTTTATTGGCGATTTATCGCGCCGACCTTAGAGAAGTCATCGATCATTAATTATTAGTCTAAGTTGATAACGAAGTAAAATAACAACAAAGTCCCATGTCTTCCAAACGATGAGAGTATCAATTAGTGTTTAGCGAAAAAAACTCGAAATACTTTCGAGAAGAAAGCTGTCCTTGTATACTGTAATGAGAAATACATTTATATATATATATATATATACACATAAGAAAAATATATATGTACATGCGTATGCGTAAAACATCGTTGATGCGTGAGCGAGATGCGAAAGTCAAAAATATATGCGGAGATATAGAAATGTTTGCTGGCACATGACTATGTTGTTCGAAATATCGCCTATACACCTATTGCCCTTATTATCCACTGTATATCAATGTCTAATAAACTGCTGTTATCCCAATTTGCCAATACATAATTTATAAATGTTTTATTTTTGTTTCTTTTTTCAAAAATTGTTACACAAAGATTAACATATCAAATGAATGTTCAATAAATGTTGTATGAAAATTCTCATGTAATATAAAAATTATGACTACAACATGTTTGTCAAAAAATTTAATTTAATGTGATAGAATGAAGAATTTATTTACCAAAATGGAAGTAAACTGTTACATAATATGTTACACAATCGTAATCATTTGCGTCGTATCAGACTTTAAACAATTAATATTCAAGGCAAAATAAAAATAGTCTCGTTAGAATGATTTTCATTGCATTAATGTACGAAACTAGTTAAACCGGAGGCTCGATGGAATCAAGAATTGTAAACAGGTATATAAATTATTCCCCAGCGCGATTACGAGTGGGACTACGAGTTCTACTTATCAGATCGTCGTAACTAGCATCGGTGACAGGAATCGACTCGACGGACAGTCGTTCGTAGCAGCTGCAACTATGAAGTCTTTCGTCAATTACTCAGCAACTTGTGAGTTCCCAATCGAAAATTTACCGTATGGAATATTTTCTACTAAAGATAAAGTAAGCATAAGTTATATCGCATATTGTATACAAATCGTGCCACGTCATACGATAAAACAACTAAATATAGACATTTAACTATGTATTTTCATTAAAATTTAAGAAATTGTGAATTATATCAAAATATAATAATGTTTTATATATTTTATAAATTTTTATAGTATGCTTAAGTTTTGCAATAAAATATTAGACATCGTATATTTTTTTTGCAATATATGTATAAGCAAAGAATGGAATGTTTTTATTAATACTACATTCAACGCCGTCTAGTAGCAACTTCATCTTGGTACCATCAGCTGGTATATTATTGTCGTCTGATAATTTTCAAATATTATCTTTACAAATTTACTTTATTTTGCAATATTCGTAAGTTACTATACTTATGAAATTTGATACTAAAATACAACCATCATAATGATGTTTTATTAACTTATTTATATAATAATTACTATTGTATATAAAATAGATATAAAATATATAATTTATTTAAAATATTTTAGCCAGAAAAGAAAATAGGAGTAGCAATCGGTGACGAAATTTTGAATTTGAATGCTATCGCGAATTATTTCGATGGACCATTATTACAAGGTAAGCAGGATGTATTTCGCTGTGATTGTCTGAACGAGTTTATGTCTCTGGGAAGACCAGCATGGTTAGAAGCAAGATCGAAACTTCAAGATCTACTTTCTATGAGCAATCCTATTTTGCAAGATCCGGAAATTCGTTCAAAGTGAGAAATAAACAAACAAATAAAAATTACTTAATATTAATTTATAAATTTTTAAAAACTTTATCATATAATCTTTTGTGACATCTTTTTCAGAGTCTTTATCGCACAGAAAGATGCTATAATGCATTTGCCAGCAAAGATAGGTGATTACACTGACTTTTACTCATCTATCAATCACGCCACAAATGTCGGCATCATGTTTCGTGGAAAAGAAAATCCGCTGATGCCAAATTGGTAATTTTTTAATATTTTTATTATATTATTATTATTATTATTATTATATTTTAGAAATCGTAAAAATATATCATTATTATTATACTTTAGAATTGTAAAAATAAAAATGCATATAGGAAATACTTGCCGGTCGGTTATCACGGAAGAGCAAGTTCCATTGTTGTGTCAGGCACACCCATAAGACGACCGCGTGGTCAAACACTTCCTGTTGAAGGTGCGGCACCTGTTTTGGGGCCCTGTAGATTAATGGATTTCGAACTCGAAGTTGCTTTTTTTGTCGGGCCACCTACAAATCTCGGCGATACTGTTCCAGCTTCAAAGGCGTACGATCATATCTTTGGAATGGTGTTGATGAACGATTGGAGTGGTATAATATAATTTAAGAAGATATATTTTGCACTTGATTAATTTAAACAGTATTACATACTTTTAGTTTCTTTGTTTTTCTTTTCATTCTATAGCACGTGATATACAGAAATGGGAGTATGTTCCATTAGGACCCTTTGGTTCAAAGAATTTGGGAACAACAATATCTCCATGGATTGTTACAATGGAAGCTCTAGAGCCGTTTAAAGTGTCAAATATGGTTCAAGATCCTGAACCATTTCCGTACTTGCAACATACCGAATCTTGTAATTTTGATATTAGATTGGAAGTTGATCTTAAATGTGAGCCAACACTTTTTTATTACTTTTTATGATAGTTATTCATGTTTTTGTACGTGTTGCTTATATATTTTAATTACATATGATTTCAATTTTTGACAGCTCCAAGTGGTGTTGTTACAACTTTATGTCGGAGTAACTTTAAACATATGTATTGGACTCCACAACAGCAATTAGCGCATCATACTGTCACGGGATGCAATCTTAATTCTGGTGATTTAATGGGCTCTGGTACGATTAGTGGAGACGTACGTTTGAAATCATTGATACTATAATTTAACATTATTAATTCAATGAATATATTAAATTAATTTTGTTTTACTTTTTCAATTTCTTTATTTAAATTTTTTGCGATATATATTTTTTAATTATATTAAATATAATTTTATACAATTATATTAAATATAATTTTACACAATTTCGATAATATAAAATATCTGTTTAGACTCCGGGCTCATACGGCTCCATGCTAGAATTATGTTGGAAAGGTACACATCCGATCCCATTAAAAGATGGTACCACAAGGAAATTTCTTCAAGATGGTGATGAGGTGACCATTCGTGGTAAGTAAACACATATTATTTATTTATATCTAAAATTACATAACGATTTACTAATTTCAGGTTATTGTATTGGTGACGGTTACAAAATTGGTTTCGGATCGTGCATGGGTAAATTGTTACCCGTTAACTCCGAGTGAAATAAATGTGAGGCAAAATTACTTATGCATAATTTGCTATTTTTCATATTGTTTTATGTTTGTATTTTAACATGTAATAAATAATTTTATTAATTACAATTTTATTTTAAAGTTATTTATTATTCCTTTTTATTATTCCAAATTATTCCAATCCTTTAGTAGCAAGATGTAAATTTAAAAAAATTTAATTCAACATGTAATTTTAACTAAAAATTGAATAATATTTTATTATACACATTTGCATATTAATTAAGTAAACATTTTTCTATCAAGATTATGTATGGAGATATTAATTATAATTTTCTTTATAATTATGAAACAATTATGTGTGGTATTATATGTATTGTTAACAAATTCAATTTATATCACTGAAACAATAAAAAACTAAAAGCTTACTACGTTATACTTAAAGGAGTAATATTGTATAGTATGACGTATACAACGAATCGATTATTGATTGAGAGGATAGTCGTAGTAAGGGCGATCAATAAGGAGGCCAGTACAGGTGCAGGCAGAAGAAACATGGCAGGCGTTCTACTTCGGTAAGCAAAATATACTAATCTAAGTTAAAAAGATATCTTCATTCTTAAAAAATTGTTCTATACTTAAATTATTTTAATCTACTTTAATAGTTGATAATATTTCTATTTCCATAAATTTAAAACTATACAATCAAAACCTAATATTACATTTGCATCTGTGAGCATAAATAATTTTTGTTTATAACAGAGAACATAATTATTTTATTAACTTTAATATTTAAATTTGTTTTATTTTTTTGAACACATATATAACATCTATTTGTACAAGGATATGTACATTTTAATTTCTATTCCAACATTTGTTAAATTACGTCTTCAACATAATGCTTTGCAATTATTGACAAAAGTTTCAAACATAATGTATCCATCATCCATCACACATAAACGTTGTTTACTTGACACTAATTTATAGTGTCAAAGATAAAATGATAGATATAGTGATACAGGATATAGTAGATACAACATAACTTTCTTTGATATACGCATTACTTTAATGTTTTTTTTTAATTTTTTTATCTGCTGTAACATGTAGCATTTATTTTAACATCTATTTAGAAGCCTTCACAATTTGGAAACTTCAGACGAACCTACCGCTAAGTGGACTGTTCCTTTGAGTGACGGTAATCATGTGGTAGAATTTGAACATGGAACAGCAACAGGCCGACGTATAGTAAAAATCGATGGCAAGAATGTAGTTCATAGAGATTGGATGTTTCGTCTGGTTGGTGATGAAGTTTTTATGTTCAACAATACCAAATTCGTGATCAGAGTCGATCCAATGCCAGGTAAAGCCTTATTATTTTATTTTTTTAACAATAAATATTTTATTATTTTATTATAACTATTAAATAGGTTTGAAATATTCTTATTCGTTGTGGGTGAATGGAAAGAGTTATAAGCAATTTATTCAGTCGCAATCAAAAATATTAGAAACTTGGTTGGCCAAAGTTGGAAACGAAGAATATAGAATTGTATTAGGTAATTAATTAAAATTACACATATATATATATATATATATATATATATATATATAGTAGTATTATTTGATTTTTTCCCTGAAATTTGCAGATAAACACGCTCATAGCGTTTGGGTGAATGGACAAGAAGTGGAAGTTGAGGTAATGATTAACGTAGAAATTTTTGGTATTTATCTTTAAACTAGTATATGACTTATACTAAAAATATAAATTAAATGATGTTTTGTACGTAGAACGAGTTCATGGATGGTGGCGCAGAAATTCTTTTCTCTATTGGCGACTTACCGGCCGCGATCAGATCTTATAGTTCGGAACAAAAAGAGATTGGTATAGCATACGTTTTATACATCAATGATGTCGAAATACAACAAGAAGCTTTATTGGAAGAATCCTAATTAAAGTGTTAAAGTGTTAACTTGTCCAAATAAATTTTTTATATTTCATATTAATCAATAAGTACATACAAGCACATCGTCAATAATCATAAACTATAATTGTATTATGAAATGTGTAAATCAATACTAGTGTGAAGCACAATAATTTTAATACAAAACTTCTATTTCTGTATTAAATATTCAAATTTGATTAGCACTGCCGTGTAATTTTCTTAAATTATGTGTACATTTTTTAAGCTTAAGCATAAAATAAAATTGTTGGATGTAATAGTGTATAGTATATACTTTAATTTACCCGAAAATATATTTTGTTATCGAAAATTAATACTTGAAGATAGCTGGAATTTAAATATGACTCTTGTTTATATGATATAAAAATTGTGACGTATAAACAAAATTATTTAAATTTATGTATTATTTAATATTCCAATATTTTGAGACATTCTCAATAAAATATGAACTTATAAATAATCTAAAAGATTATCATATTTAAAGACTAAATTAAAAATATTGAATATGGCACGCATTGAGTATGTCTTCAGCATTGAATCTTTAGTTTTAACTCCTAAACAAAATGAATTATGTTACGAAGGTAAGGAAATTTGTATAACTTAATTATATTTTTAAAATCACAAAAAATTATATTGTTTTTTAGATATGACAGAAATAGAATTACAAGAGGCATTGGAAAACATAGTTTGTTCAAATTTACTTCTGAAATTAGAAAATGACATTTTTGAAAAATACCTTAGACGTAGAGATCCCGAAAGTCTTCAAAGTAATTTTCTTACTTAATTTATTTTTATATTAATTTTTTTTTAATCAATCACATTTCTATTTTAAATGTTTTTTCAGACATATTAATATTAATGTTTTTAATATATTTTAATATATATATTTTTTTCTTAACGTATATAAATCTATTTTAAATGTTTTTGCAGATATATTAATATTAATGTTTTTAATATATTTTAATATATTTTTTCATTAATGTATTTTTCATTAAGATATATAAAACATTAACATATTAAAGTTTTTAATGTATTTTATCTAGCAATAGCGCAGATCTTAGAAACTGCTAAACGCGTACAAAGAATAGCACCTCAGCATGGTCGCACATCACCCGTTACGAGTGTAACCGGAAGTTCTGTGAATGTTCATGACAAAGAGTTAATGAGTGTCGCCAGTATGAGATCCGAAACTCGACACGTCACGCCAAGTCTTTTAACAACTAGAACACCAACAAGAGGAACAAAGTTTGTCTAGCTAGATATCTCTCATAACTTCTATTTCACTGTTTCTTCATTTATAAACACTAAATTGTAGACTCACGTATACGCAACGCATCGAAATGACAAACACTGAAATTCGAGAATTGCAGAAAGCATTAGAAAAATTCGAACAGATGTCGATCAAAAAGAAAATATATTTGCAAGCGCAAATAGAAGAAAATCAAATTAGTATTGATGAAACTTGTAAAACTAAAGAGGAATTTGAAGAAAACGTTGTACAGAAAGGCATAGATAGCATTACAGGGAAAATACCTGCTGAAAAGTTTATCAGGTGTTACAACATTATATAGTAATAATTAATCTTGTGAAATTTTGATGAAATTATGTAAACAAGGCTTAGATTTAATAAAGATAGAAGAAATTAAATTTCTAATGCGTAGATTTATAGAAGAATGGTTAAAAGTAGTCGACATAATAATGGAACAAATTAGATTGAAGATAGCTACCATAAAGTCTGAGATAAGAAAAGTCAAATTGCAGCTGAAGCAGAGAAAAGAACTGGGCGAGACTCTACGCGCCATAGATTTCGAACAATTGAGCATAGAAAATCAAATTTGCATACGAAAAATTGATGAAAAGAATCAGTATCTACTTGAAATGAAAAGAATTGCAGGTAAGAAAAAGATATTCAATGATTGTTGCAGTACATAAATTGTTAGATTTGGTGCAGGACGCTATAGCATAACATTAACCAAGTATAAAGAAAGACTAGATGGTTTAATGTTAACTATAAATAAAGTGAGAGACAATATGTTTTCCAAAAAACAAGAAATTATAAAATTGCAATCGAAACAAATTGCTACAAAGATTGAAATAGAAAAAGTGGGAAAACAACTCAAATCGATAACGGAATTAATAGACAAATTTGAGGTAATGTCTTTTATATGTTTAGTTATGTCTTTTATATGCATAGCATAAAAATTTAAAAGACACAATTATATACAATTATTTATTATCTTTATTTATGTATATTCATAAAAAATTTAGGTTCCAAATGTCATGGATGCCATTAAATTGCGTATGAATCTACAGGAATTACAAAAAATTCATAAGCAATTAAGCAGGCAAAAAGAAATTCAACAATTAACACTCAAGTTTCAAAAATAATAATTGCAAGATATATTTTAATTGTGTGGCAAATATATGATAATATTTGCATAAATTTGTGTAAATATTAAGAATATTTATTAATTTAAAATATTACTCTATTTTACAAATATAGCTTTTATTCTTAATTTTATAATCTTTTCTATTTTTAAAACATATTTAAAAAATATCTATATATACTTAATATAAATCTAATGTATAAATTGCATATAATAGTAAAAACAATTATATGAAATTAAATATAATGTGTCTCTTCTTATTTTCCTACCGTAAAAAATAGATTTACCGTTGTAGGAAACGTTCTGAACAGTTGCTTGCGAGGTAAATCAAATACTTTTTACTAACTTACGATTAAGAGATCGTTATATTTTCTAATTTTATTTAATAAATTTAACAGGAATCTTATAAATACATTTAATAACTTAATTGACATCTGAATTTTTATTATCATATGAAATTTAAATTTTATGTAAAATTAAATAAATGTAATTTATTAAAATATCTGTAGCAATAATAATAATCAACATCATCTTAATATGACAAAAATATTGAAGACTTTTATGAATTAATTATTATGACACATATTTAACTGGGCAATTATGAAGTTAAAGCAATGCAGAAAGATTTCGGCGTGTGCTACGATGCGTTAGGTGGTTACGCTTCACGCACCGATAGTGCCTGTCCCTTCCTCTTTTTGCTCGCGGAATATCCATCCCGGAAAGGCTCATCTCTCTTTCTTTGCCATGATTCAGTTTTGCCGCGACGACAGTATCGAACCTTGGTTCTTTAATTCAGTTGTCGGATAACTGATCGATTGTTGTTTTAAAGTCTATAAATTTAAAGAACGTTGTGTTTGTATAATAGGATGCTTAAAATCGTTCAATCGTTCACTTCTTCAAATTTTTGACATGTGACATTATTTAAGTTTGATTTAAATTATACTCAGTCTTCGCTAAAAAATTATATATATTTTTATATTATGTGGCCTGAACATACATTTATAAGAGAAATGTTATTCTTTTATTGTATAAATTAAATACAAAACAATTAAATATCAAAATAAGATATTAGGCTATCGATGATTAAAAACTGAAAATAATTATATAAATAAATATATAATTATTCACTTGTGCATTGTTAAATCGTTATTGTATTTATCTGTTTGCATTGTGGCAATAACATTTTTTTTGAGAATGAAAAATATTTCAAAATGTGTACAACAAGATTCGTTATGTCAATCACTAGAGTAACGATAAATTTGCTACAGAAAATGGCGAAAATAAAAATTCGCGATTTTATTGGTATTTTTGTTATTTTGTTACATGGAAAAACATATGGAAAATATTTGGAAGTAAGTTTGCGAATAAATTATCAGTTTTTCGTGAAAGTTACTTTGATCACATTCGAGAATAGATAATTTTATTATATTGATACTATAGATAATTTTAGCAAAATTGAACAATTGATAGCATATCTAAATAATTGATTTTATAATTCATATTCTTTTTTGTTATGTATTATTTGAAGGGCCTCAACATGAACTTAGGAGATGCTCTTCTATTCCTTAGAGAATATGACAGCGCAGCTTCGTTAATGTGCACAAGAGTGACGATAGCTCAATGGAATTTTGCGACAAACGTTACTGATATAAACTATCAGAAAATGGTATAACAGATTTTTTAAAATTAATATGAGATAATGTAATACAATATAATTTATGTAATATTTTATGAATCTTTTATATAACAATTGATTCAGATGGACGAGCAAACATTAAAATTAAAATTTGAAAGAGCTTCTTGGCGAAAAGCAATCACTTTTGCTTGGAGTCGTATACCAGATCCTTTAGCAAGAAGAGAACTTAAAATGATTGTTACGAAAGGTCGAAATTCTTTATCTGATGATAAGTTTAACGAGGTAAATAAATATCTTGTAACTGAAACAATATTAGTTTCTAATTATGCATGTATATATGTAATTATTTAAATGTGATTGCATTGTTTAAATGTAATTGCATTATTATTAAATGTTAAAAAGAAAACTGTGATTAAATAAGTACATTTTGCAATTTTGTTCATAAACGCACTTATTTATGTTTGATATATTTGCAGATACATCGTTTAATAGCCGAAATGAAAGAAATTTATCTTAAAACCAGAATATGTTCGTACAAACAAATTGATGGCGAGTGTAATTTGAGTTTAGATCATGGTTAGTTACTTAATTCGATTTACATATTACATATAATAAATAGTAAAGAAATAAAAAAAATAATATATATATATATATACGCTTTTATGTAAATTATTTTTAGATATAAATAAAATAATGGCACGATCAAAAGACTATGACGAATTGTTATATTATTGGCATGCTTGGCACGAAGCAATTGGTCCACAAGTTCAAAATAAATATTTAAGATATGTTCAATTGGCAAATGGAGCAGCTAAGCTAAATGGTACAAAAAGTTTCAATCTTAAATATAATATTCTATTTGTATATGAAGAATGTTTATTAAAAGCCTAATATTTTTTAAAAACATATTTAAAATTAATAAAATTTTTCTTATAAAAGGGTTTGCTGATGCTGGTGACCAGATGAGAGAATTATTTGAAGATGAATATTTTCAACAAAATGTAGCAGAAATAATGTCTGCTGTAACTCCGCTTTATAAAAATCTTTTTACTTATGTACGATCAAAATTGATTGAAAGATATGGTGATAAAATTCGTGAAGATGGGCCTTTACCGGCGCACGTTTTAGGAGATATGTGGGCTCAAAATTGGGAAGGTCTGTTCGAATTGGTGCAACCATTTCCGGCGAGCAGAAAACTCGATGTAACTTTAGATATGATGATTCAAAGTATCACTCCAATGAGGTACGTTTCAAAATATATAACATAATTTTATACAAATTCATGAATAATATTATAAAAAAAATGTTTTTTTTAATGTAAAAAGGATGTTCCAAATAGCAGAAGAGTTTTTCACTTCGCTTGGGATGAAACCAATGCCGCCGGAATTTTGGAAATTCTCCATATTTGAAAAACCCATTGATAGAGAAATTAAGTGTACTCCTAGTGCGTGGGACTTTTGTAATAGAATTGATTACAGGTTGGCTTTTCTATTATTTCTCTATTATAAGACAAAAGAGAATTAATTAATTTCTTCTATATTATTATTACAGAATAAAGCAATGTACTAGAGTTACAACGGAAGATCTATTATCCACGCATTATGAAATGGCACATCTGCAATATTATTTACAATACAAGGATCATCCATTTTTATTCCGGAACGAAGCAATTCCAGGTATATATTTTTCATACGTTTTAAAGAATTATATATTCTGTTAATAACATGATTTTTAATTAGGATTCCATGAAGCTGTTAGCGATGCAATTAGTTTGTCCATTTATACTCCTCAACATTTACACAAAATTGGGTTACACAATAATTTAATCGACGATTATGATAGTAGTATAAATTTTCTTATGTTAATGGCTCTGCGTAAAGTGGCTTATATGCCTTTTGCTTACATAATTGATCAGGTAATTAATAACAAATTAAATAAATAATGTAGTTAATATACGATAGAACAAACACTATTTATCATTTCTTATATGAATTATTTATATGTTAAAAATATATAAAAATATTATTGTTATATATATATATAAGTAAATAATTAAATACTAATAAATCGCATATTCATTTTTGTTAATAGTGGAGATGGCATGTTTTTAGCGACGGTGTGGAAGATATGACAGCACATTGGTGGGAATTAAGATTGCAATATCAAGGCATCGTTCCACCTGTACCAAGATCCGAAAGGAATTTCGACCCAGCAGCAAAGTATCATATTCTGGCAGACCGTTCTTACACCAAGTAGAAATATAATAAATATGTCACTTTACAGAAACAATATTTATATAAAAATATATTACTTTTATATTTTTATTTCTAGATATTTTGTAAGCACTGCGTTACAGTTTCAATTGTTCCAGTCCCTGTGTGAAATTTCTGGTCATACTGGCGAATTGCATACTTGCGATCTTTACAGGTCACGAGAAGCTGGTCGGCTATTATCGTATGTTCATCCAAAAACTAATTAAACAGAATTTATCAATAAAAAAATTTTATTTAATTGTATTAATAATTTTATATTATATTTT